CGAATACGGCAATTGTATGCATGACAAACGCGCTCTAGTGAAGTGAACTCGAGGTTTGCCGCCTTACGCCCAGAGTAGGCGACGGCCTAGGCCTAGCCTAGAGATATCGGGCTAGCCTAGAATGCAATTAGCTACAACGTGAAGGCAAACTATATACTACCACACGAAACCTAATTAAAAATGTAAAAAAAATGCTCTCCCATTTCTACACAGTCCTTGCATAGGCATATAACATAACCCCTGCCAACAATAAGCATTTTTTAGTAAATTGTCGGTAAATCATTAAGTCCAATTTGGAAGTTCATTGTACTCTTTGATTGTACTTATTCTAGGTGCAAGGAGTGTCGCCCTCTATCGTAAAAGTAAACAAACTCCTGCAAACGAAAACACATGGAATGAAAGAAGCGGTGGATGACTGACATTGACTTTCTTGTACATTTATTATTTATAAACCTTAACTTACAGTATGAGTATCGAATCAGTCGATGTGGTGGGTAATAAATTCATACTACTAATAGTATTAGACTCTTGGTCTAAATTGCCTTTACAGGCATTGTTTTGTGCAGGTTTAGCCTAGGCCCTTGTACTTTAGGCTGGTTAGTGGATCACCGGCCCTGCTCTAGCCCCGGCCACCTGCCGTTGTGCCTATTAGGCCTACAGATTTTGTAGAGGGAGACAGGGAGAGGACTTAATTATACAGTACTTGTGAGTAGGTCTGCATTAGCGTTCATAAGTAGAAGTTTGAAATGGAGAAATCATGTTAAATAAATGTATATTCATTATGCTTTAATTGTGTTTCAGTATAAAATTTTACCAGTGCACAATGCAGGCAAATGGCTGAATGAGTGTCTACAGTCAATTCAAGGTCAGACGTTTAAGGAAGGAAAGTTCGAATTGTCCATTTTTAATGATGCCAGCAAGGTACTAAATAAGTCATTTACATTTCATTGACTGGAAGACAGAACAAAGAACTGGTCCAATAAGCCTCTATCACAACAATTTCACAGATTCCAGAATTGAATTCTCACATGTATTGTTATAGATCATCATAGTTACCAAGTCTCACTATGGAGCTCTATGGTCTCACATATGACTGCAATACTCTGCAATACAATTGAACTATTAGCATTCTCACTGTCAAAATCTCTTTTTCTTCTATTTTAATTCTATTTCAATTTTACTTTTTTCTTTTAAATTATTAATATGGACAAACATATACAGTAAGTGAAATGAAAAGTTATATATTCATTCTCCCTGTTACTTTCTTCAGGATGATTCAATAACAATTATAAATTCCTGGAAAGATAGGTTGAGCAATGCTGGCATCCATGTGATTGTAAATGGACACTCTTCTGATGCCCCTAAAGGAGGTAAACACATATCAATTATAACAATGCTTTTCATAACATGAAAGTTTATTGTTGTTACTTTCCTCTTTTTATTTTAAATTGCAGTTGGCTTTGCCAAAAACCAAGCAGTAGCTAATAGCCGTGGAGCTTTCCTGTGCTTCCAAGATGCTGTAAGTTAACTAATTTTCGCATTGGGAGTTGAATGGTGCTGGCTGTACCACTTAAAGCCAAGCTCCATAGGGAAAACATTTAATATGTTTTAAAAATTGTTAATAGGTTGTTTTTAATAAATTTTGTACAATATAAATCATCTGTGAGGAGCAATTGATGTGGGTAAATATTTTAATGACTATTTAACATTGTTTATTTATGTATTTGTATATCTCATTCAACTATATATTGTAAAAGTGAAGACACTTTTTCTAATCTTATGTATTTTATATGGTCATGATGTGATGTCATCATGACCATATTTAGGCATGTCACATGTTTTTGTCAAATACAATTTGATAGTCTGGACAGGGCTTTAGTAGGAGAAAGCTAGACCAAGTGGAACAATTGATAGGAATGTTAAGTTTTACATGGGATGGTAAGCAAACGTTAATGAAAATAATAGAAAGAAAAGATAAACATATCTGAAAGAACTTTTAATATAATAAAACATCATTATGACAGGGAACCCCAGAGGATCTGTTGTTCTTTCTCAAGCACTTGGAACTTGGGGGCGGTGTTTATCGTGTTGATGAAAATTTGTTAACCTACAGGTATCACCCAGACTGCGCCACACATTCAGTCCACAGGTTAGTGAAATGAGTTTTGACGTACTTGTACTATTTTAGAGGCTTAAGCATTTACTTAAGACGATGATCAGGGCAATTATGATTATGATAATAATTTGGAAAATTATAATGATAATAATAAAGATGATTGTGTATGAAATTTTCATCAAAGTCATTGTCAAAATTTAATATCGACGATTATATAATGTTAATGATGTTGATGATAATGTACAGTAGTTACGATGATATTGATGTGAATTTTTTATTACAATTATTATATGGTATTAAGCAATAAGAGTATTATACGTTTTAAGATAATTGAAATGGTAATAAAAATTATAATTATAAAAAAATCATATAAGATATTCTTGTAATAGATCATGGAAATTATATATTAATTCTTTTATTTTGATATTTGTTTTTGTAGAGACACCATTTGGGATATTAGAATAGAGGCAATACAGAAACGTGTAATAAATCAATGGAAACAATTTACAATATGGAATGCTGGGAAGGAAGGCAGGAAGTTTTACAGGTCATTGACCCAAAAAAACAAGGCAAAGGTCAAAGCATTCTGCGATGTAGATGCCAAGAAGATTGGCAAGGTGTACACATACGAAGGATCTAAGGTGGGTGTATTAACAATGAGGTCATAGAAATGGACATAACTCGGACCAATAAAAAATTGTTCCGTTCAAAAATAATTTGGCATTATAATTCATTCTAAAATGTTACAAAACAGATAAAATGGCCACATTGGATCTTTGCAAATTGTACAAATCAAACTTAACAAATGACCAATCAGAACCATGCCTGGAAGATGCATGTGTCCAATAAACACACATGTTGTCGCACAGATGCACATGTTTCTGTACGTTGACGCTATGTTTTTGTGGGATTTTATCAACAAATATCCAAAGGGCAGGGCTTAGAATAAGGTCAATTGGTCAGTTTATCTGGTTGCCATGGTCCCAGCTACTATTTTGTGAACTATCTGATTTGAAGGATTGTACTTGAATCATGTACTCTTTGCTATAAATTTTAATAATATTGATTTTTCTGTAGATTTTGGTTTGTTACCAAATTAGGTTTTACCATATTGTTTTCATAACTTTTTTCTCTCCAGGAACAACCAAAACCAACAGTTCCTATTGTACATTTCTCTGATGCATCTCCTCCATTTGTTATATGTGTGAAGATGGTGAGTTGTCTGTCTCTTATACACATCTAGATGTGTATAAGAGACAGCACATGTATTGTTATAGACCAAAGATGACCATTAAGTTTTTATTGAAATATGGATTTAGCAATCCATTATAAATTTGCACAACCACCAACCCCCACTCCACCATTTCACACCCCCACCCCCATGACTAAAACCAACCTGCACCCCTGACATGCAATGCTTCCATGTATAGGAAATATCAACTATTTAAATTCTGGAATTTTGCAAGGGCTAATAGCGTATTTGCATATGTATATGCATCAGATGTCCAAAAGGGAAACACAGCATTTGGGTCATTGTATCCTGTGAAGTTTGTTGGAGTCATCTTGCCAAAATGAGTTATCTTAAGAAGATCTTCATATTCCTCTTCGCCTATTACCCCTGACATAGCAATGACTATGTTGCGATCAAATATAGATGTGTTTGAAGGTAGTATTGTGCCGTTTAGAAACTCAATGTGATTGGTTGGAAAATAAAAAGGCACACTCTGGGAAAAAAAAAAAAAAGATTATAGTGATCAATAAAAATAATAATGATATTAATCTTTGTGTCAGTGATACCTGTAGTTATTGTGGTGCATTCAAAAGAGAAGTTACTATATGAATGTATATATTAAAACAGAGTTAAATACAGAGATTACATTAAAAAAAACAAATACACTAAAATATGTCAAAAATCATTAAAGCAGTTAATTCTAAAAATACAAAAAAAGAGACATAGTAAATATTATATAAAACCATCAAACGTTCTTTAAAATGTTTATATTTTTAATGATTTAAAATAATTGGTCATTGTTAGCAACTGAGAGTGGGGACCTGGTAATAGCTAGAAAAAATAGAGACTGACATCATTCTCCTCTTTTAAATAAAGGTTTTTTTTTTTTTCTTGTTCAAATTTCAAGTAAATTTTACCCCTTTTACGCTGCATACAAAACTCAGCTTTGGACAAACCGAGTGCATTCCGGATTCGCCAGTATAAACAGCACTGAATAATGATTCTGGAATTAGGCCTAACCTGGGGCCTACCGCAGCTGTAGTCAGGTAGGCCTAAGCTATGCTAACAACAGGTAGGCCTAGACACTTTTCAAATTAAACCCTCTACGCTCCGGTATAGACTTGATATCAAAACTGCTGATTTAATTCGCATAATTTAAAATCAATCTACAGATACGTTGCGTCAATATTTATATAATAATTGCAGCTACGTGACGACGAGGAACTCGAGCGAAGCGATGATCGCCATCGCAACAAAAATTGAGGGCGGTATTTGGATCCAACTTCGTTGCCTGTGTAAAATGGGAACAACTTGGGATCAACCCGGACTTTTTCATTCGATGTAAATGGGAAATGCACCCAGGATTACTTTGGAATTAACCCTGGTTGATTCTGCCCTGGGCAGCGTAAAAGCCATATTTCTTACCTCTGCCCCCTTAAATGAACCAGAGAAGAACGCACCAAATGGTTTGTAAGTATCTTCCAGAATGTAAGTGTTCAACCACTTCACAGCCTTTTCAACGACCTCCTTGATGTCATTAGGTGTACCTGTAAAAGTAATATTTTTTTGTCAATTCTTTGTGCTTATTGTTTTTTTGTTTACAAAAATAGTAGTACTCATGTATCAATATTCATTCTTTTCTTCTTTTTTTTTTTTTTGGTCAGGTGATCTGTTGGTCTGTACTTCTATCCATTGAGGACCCATACCTGGTAGATTTATTTCTGCAAGATTCCATAAAAGATCCAGCTTCCAATGAGAATCAAACAAGGTCAAAGGTATAGTACCCTCAGTCTGGATTAATATAGGACCTACATCTGGTCCAAGGTATTTACATGCAGTAACTTCTTGTTCCATCGAAGACTCAACGTCTGATAAGGACTTACACTTGGTCTAACGTTAAAGACAGCCACATATGAAGATCTATAACAGTGTTGAGCATAGGCCAAAGTGACTTTTTGATTTAACGCTGAGGGCCGTATCTGACCTTTGACTTTTCCAGAAAAAATGCTGTTTTTTGCTCAGTTTTAATATTAATTTTCACAGATTATTGGTATCGTACCATAACAACAAGGGGATTTTCTTGTCAAAGATGATAGGCAGGTCGCTCACAAGTTCGTTTTGAGGGCCACAACAAAATTTTCATTGAGCCGCATGTGGCCAGCGGGCTGCACTTTGCCCACTTATGACATGTCTATTCTACAGAAACTTTAGTTCCATCGAATACCCAGCCACCATAGTACCTACTATTTTATCCGGGCCTACTGTATACTTGGTGGCTCTTACCCTCTGTCCAATACAGCTTGCCTGTGGTCTTGTCCTGCACTGCCCACGTAGCGATGTAAAAGTTAATAGCCATTGAAGTGGAAAACAAACGGTCCTCACCTCGTTTCTAAGAAATTAACAGTAAATGAGAATGGGTTTTTTTTTTGGTGTCCTACTGTATCAAAAACAGTATAATTGCTGACCTAAATCATCTGTCTGCTTAAAAATTCTATTGTCTGTAGTGAAATCAGGGGAAAATTTGAATATCCAATGAACGTTTCCACTAATCCCCACCCCTTGGATATTTTTGGTGAGGTCCCACAAAACGATAGTGTAAATGTACACACATGCATTGGTGGGTCGAAAGCATATTCCTGGCTCTGTTCTGAATGGTCTATTGTAAGTGGTCACCAGCCAATTTGAGGGGCTTTGCAAATAATATAAGTATGATATTTTTTTTATGCATTTGTTAATTGGTTTTCTTATTTTCAATACAAATTAAATAATTCAAATATTGAATTATATTTTCCAAGAATCTGTCACATACAATTTGATAGTGTGTACAGAGCTTAAAATAAATATTAAAGGTCTGTCCACACTGTCAAATTACAGAGCTTAAAATAAATCCTTAAGGTCTGTCCACATTGTCAAATTTTAGGTGACATATTTGTGTGATGTGCCCATATATGGATGTGATGATGTCATATTACACCTAAATATGGGCATATCACATTTTTTTTGTCATATAAAATTTGTGTGGGTAGAAATTTACACTGACGTATATCTTTGTAAGGATAAATTTGTATAGGATAGCTTTTTTTTTTTTTTTTCTTTTTTTTTAAATGATAAGAAATGAAATTGCTATGTCGATTTGTATTGTAATGTTTTCTGAGAAATAACAACTCACCATGGGCGCCCCTGAAAAATCTGTGTCTCCATTTCCAAGGAATTCTTCAAAGTACAACCCATCACCATCCGGATTGGCTTCGCTTAGTATCATTTCACTAGCTTTGCCTTGCAACACCCGTTTAAATTTTGTTCTAGTTTGATTGAGGATTTCCATTGGTAAAGTACCCTCAGACACATACTGTGTTTCCAAGATGAACAAAGTGCGCGCTACGTAATAGTAGAAACTGTAGCGTGACGGGTAGTAAGTGAGCGCCAAGTCGGGACGGTCCTCTATACCTTTTGTAATGATTGGTGAGCACACTCCCCTACACTTTTCCGAAGCGTTTACTACGTTCTTCAACGTGCGCATGGATCGTATTGCACACAGTACCCAATGGCTTAAATGTCTCTTCTAAAAGACAGTGCGATGTTTTTATACTGTACTTGGTTGGAATTGAACCAGGTAAATGTTCACAATTCAGCTCACACACTGGCTACCACCGGTTTAGCAGACTGAAATATGCTGCTTTTGTAGTTAGTAGTCAACTATTTACTACTAAAATATTTAGTAACAGTACTTTAATAGATAGGCTTTAAAATAATGTCCCTATTACATTTAATATATACAAAAGTTTCCTTCATTGTCTAAAAACTTACCCAGGTTGTGACCAAAGAAACAGTTTGACCATTTTTCTTTGCTTCTTCAAGAAACCCTCTGAGGTAGTAGTAAGTCCTCGTGTCAATGGCATTCGCATCAAGATCAATATTCATTGGTCGGTAAGCGTACTTCTTAAGGTCTCGAAATGCAGTTTCGTAATGCGTATTGTTCTTAACCCAGATATTGTAAAGTGTGGGAAACGATACTCTTGTATTTTTCAACAAGGCTCCTAGACCAATGTTGAGGAAAGTGTCGTCGAAGTCGGAGGGAATCAAAAACGCACTAAAATATCCGCTGTTAAAAGAAGTCAAATGCAAAACAATATTAAGCAATATGTCTTGAAATTCTGTGCTAGTTAGTTTAATCCTCTTGCAGCTTCTTAGCAAAGAGTATAGAACTGTAAGATGTCCGACTCTCCAGTTTTCCTTGGAACATAATTCTATGTCAAAAAGTACTACCATGAAGGTGTGTGTCCTTTAAGAGACGAGTTCCGAGTGAACTCTATTCAAATTCTAATAGGGTGCCCCCTATCTAGTGGCAGTACTTTTTTAACGTTTTATTCTGGGTTTATAAAATGAGGGCAGTCGGACCCCATCAATCCCATACTCTTTGCTTCTTACTGAAGCTGTACTAGGGTGTTGACAGTCAGGAGTGCAGAACAATTGAGAATAAAACTCTTGTCCACACTTTCAAATTTTGACAATAAACTGTTCTATGCCCATATATGTTCATGATGTGCCTAAATATGGACATGATGTGCCTATATATGGATATGATGTGCTTATATATGGACATGATGTGCCTATATATGGTCATGATGTGCCTATATATGGTCATGATGTGCCTATACATGGTCATGATGTGATGTCATCATGACTAAGTCTAAAGCATGTCACATTGTAAACTCTGTCCACACTATCTTACTTTCTTTGACAAAAAACTGTTGTGTGCCCATATATAGTCATGATGTGCCCATATATGGTCATGGTGTGATGTCTTCATGACCATATTTAGGCATATCACATGTTTTTTTCAAATGAAATTTGATAGTCTGGACAGGACTATAGAGACAAGCGAGTACAAAATGAAAAAAAATAATGACGACACCAAACAATGAAGACTGTTAGTTGATCGAAATGTAGATTCATATGCAGACAAAATCAATTTAAATAACCTTTAAAATACTGTTGGAAAAAGGAAAGGAACAAATGGTTTAAATTATTTTAAGTTTATTATTAGGGAAGCAATGTTCTTGAATATGTTTAAGTTCCGCCTAAAAAAGCTTCTTTTCATTATGTAATTTGTCTGTTTTTTTATTCATTACATTTCTAACAGCACTCTGAGAGATGATTATAGGGTGCTATATTAAAAACCTATATATTATCATTATTATTAATTGTTTTTTTAATTTAAATTTTGTTATTATGTACTTCAGAAGCTGCCTTGTGAAAAACATTTAATTTGTGATCAAGTTATCCGTTTTCAAATAAAGTCATTGTTGTTATTATTATTGTTATTATTAATATTATTAATATTAGCTCAAGACTAAAACAAAAATCGTAAAACACTTACTGTTAACTTGTAGTTTACAAACTTTGATCATATAGTATCATTTATTATTAATACCATCACTATCATCATTTGAATAAAACAAACAGAAATGAAACTTACTTTGCTATTTCAAAAAATTCCAATATCTGTAGTCCTGCTTCCCAATTGAAATATTTAAATATTGATTGTAGAAGTTTGAATGGTGTATATTTTTGAATGAATTGAACACCTTCAAAAACGTTTTCTGGTCGACTGATCCACATGCCTGATGATTTGTTATATATCTGTTTAAAATCAGAAAAAAAAAAACCTCAATAAATTAAATTACAGAATTGTATCTTTTTTGATGATATAAAGGGTCTCAAATCGGAAGTAGTCAGTGTCTGGAAGATCTGCAGTGGCCAATCCAGGAATTTGAAATAGGGAGGGACTTCCACAAATTCATGATATTACCACCTCTAGATGGCCAGAAATGGCACTCTCAGACTTAAATTTGAATATAATTTTCTTTTTTTATCCATTTTTAAAGTAATTTTGAAAAGTTAGAGGCCATGATTGGCTGCCCCCCCACCCCACCCCACCCCAAATCTGCCATCTGGTTAAATGAGCTCTCTTAACACATTTATTTTTATTTTACAGCACATATTGATGCTAATCAGCACTGATTTTCATGAGACCATTGATAATAAAGGAGGAAAACATGCAAATATTTGCGGGAGAATCTTGCCTGAGTGCGGGAGGTTGTCCCATTTTTCCTGAATTACAGGGGATTTGGGTCCCCTGCACTATTATATTTGCTTATGCAGTTATGTGCTATACATGAATATATGCTAATCAGTTATTAGTGAAAGTGTCTGGGGTTTAGCTCTGCACCTATACTGTATAGGTTTTTGTGGTCTAACAGTATGATACCTGCCTTGTTCGTTAGAGGCTGCAGATTTGAATCCAACCAGAGATACTTTGTTTTCATACAATTAAAAAAGAAATTTTTTATTGAAGTGCTATGCTTCATACAATTAATTGTGCCTTCAAGTGGTTCTACTCGAGCACTATTATTATTATACGTTGAACTTGCTTCAGTCTAATCCAAAATGGCATCGACAAATTGTTTGTTATTCAAGTTTAAGGCAAAATCGATAGGCAAGTTTAACAACTGTATATCTATTCTACGCACTAGTTTGAACCCTCCCTTTTCTGAAGTGGCCCCAACTTCTATCGTGGAGAAATGTGTATGTGTATGTATACTTTCTACATATTAGTAGGCACTAAATCAATTAAATGAACATATGAAAGCCCTCCATGACCTCCATCATGAAGAGCTAAACCCTCCCCCCAAACCCCAATTAGGAGAAACACCACAATTCATTGGGGAAAAAAAATGTATATGTACATTTTCTACAATATTAGTAGACACTTGCATCAATTAAACAAACATATGAAGGCCTAAATTGGCATGTTTTTCAGGGATTCGTCCCCTCCCCCGGAACAATTTTGAGAGATTATGAGCAACATGCCTGACCACGGTCACTTTTCTCTTTATAGGGACATCGTCCTACTCCCCGTCAGTGGAATTGGCACCCTCGTTGGGCAATGTTTATTGACAATTTAGTATGAAATATCATAGGCCTACCATGGATCCTACAACTAGCAAATGTATCTCAGCCTATTGGACAATAGAATCATTGCCTTTGATCGCCTATTCTGGGTTATGTTTACGGTTGTTAACCAACAATAAAGTTTTTACTGGTTTTTAAGAATTGAATCAATAACGGAAACCATTAGTGCAAATCCTTCTCTGTAACAATAATAACATTTACTTGATTTACATTTAAAGCCATTGGGAATAAATTTGAAATTAAAAAAAAGTATTATGTTACCAACTTCCCATGTGGAACGTGTTTTAAAAAAACCCTGACTAACAGACCTGGATACAAATAAATTCACTTTTTGTACGGTAGGCCCCTACGCCCTGGTATTCCACCTTGTTGATATGGTTACTCTATTACAGCTTTGCTACCTTAGCATTGGCATAATGCAGGCTCTTCAAGCCAAGCCCCAGGCTCCCCCCCAGTCCAAAAGTGCCCTCTTACTAATACAAGAGAGCTTTGATATTACGGTCCAGTAGAAAACACCAATTCCCGGATTTTCATCTCGTAAATGATTGACTTAAGCATGCTTGTAATGGTGTAGCTTCAATACAAAGCCAATTCATTAAAGCACTAAACTTAAAAAGTATGACTAACTGATGCACACATATTAAATTTTTATTTTAATTTGATTTATCCATTTTAACTTTTGTACAGTGCACTGAACTTGGAATAGGAAATGCACAATATACGTTTAGGTTATTATTACAAAGTGAAGCATAGATATTTTCTAAGTTGTTTATGAAAATAGTCCACTCAATTAACATCCAATGCTTTTTTAAAAATTAAAAATAAATGTATAAAATATTCATTGTGTTGGGTTTAGCAATAACTATAGTTTGGCCAAGTCCAAAACAATGTTGTTCAAAAACGCACAATCTCAATTGGAAATGAGGATAGCAACAAGAAAAAAGTGGGAGTGACGGGTAGGACAAATGCATTGTACAAACTACTGTGGTGAAAAAATACATAAAGAGTGATAAAATAATGTCAACAAAATAATAATGTAAATTAGGCATCTAAACATATATAAGGCAATTTTCTGAAAACTTTGTTCCTGGAGCCCCATTTACGCCCAACATTTGATGATACTGAGTAAATTATTTTAAAGAATAAGTAGAAAGAGTTCTTAAAAACATCATACATTTTTGACAACTCTATAATCATATAAATATCAAAAGGTTACAGAATCTGAGGATTTGCTTCTAGACTCCCATAGACCTAACCTGGGTTCCAGGCCCTAATTTTAGGTTACTCACTCTTTATTGCACTTAGTGCGCGCCATACCTAATTTAATTGGCGCCCCATACTCGATTTCTTCAGAGCCATAGATAGAAAGAGTTGCGACATTGAGAATTTAGAAGCCATTTTGTTTCATACGCGATGCGCGTTCTGTGTCTAACGTGATGTGCGTTCCTGTGTATAACATTGTATAAATACAGTTAAAACCCTCCTGTATAGTTTCTGTCTCTTATACACATCTAGATGTGTATAAGAGACAGGGTTGAAGTTGATAGCTTTCAAAGCGTTCATCATTTGGTCCTCATCAGGTCGAGATGCATTTCCATAAGAGTATGCCTCAATCAGTGCAGTCGTGATCCATAAAGTTGAGAAAGAGTTTGTATCGTAACATGCAAGGTAGTCACGGCTGAAAGCAAGAAATGGGGAACCATGCCAATTGATACGTATATCGCTCCTGTATGCGCCCTTTGAGGTTCCCCATGACATAGGAGGGGTGTAATTTTTATCTTCTACGGCTTGAAAAGAAGCTACTCTCTTACTTAAAGCAGCAATGGTGTCCGAAATTGGCCTATCTGCCACTCCTATGCCTAGAGAAATTATAAACAGAACTACTGACAACTTCATGCTGGTATCTCACTGCAGTTAGTGTTGTAAATTATTTTGACTTTAGAATCTACATTGATCATTATTTATCAGTAAATCACATGACAACTGTATACTGTTAATAATAGTCAATATAGGTCAATAAAACTTAGGACCATGGTGTTCGGTTGATCCCCTGGTTGGTCTATGGTAGACTTGCCACAAGTCTCTTATTTTTTATTATTTTTCTCATTCTGGACAGCGCCACCAACGAGAAAGTTAATTTAGAGACGTAATAAGCGACTTGTAAAACAATGAAATCAGGCACCAGGATGCCAAAAGAATGACGTAATCTTATATTCCGTATTTGGATAAATGGGCGGACCGAAATAAACAATTTCAACTAATCAAATGTTCATATTTTTGGAGCCACGAAACTGAGTCACTCGCGTCGA